CTGGGGGCTGAAAAGAGAGCAACATGATTAATTGTGTTGGCTTGTTAAAATGTTTTAATTAAGGTAAGGAAATTTCCTGTCTGCAGAGAAGCCAGATATATGAAATCCAACTAAAACTTTCATGACTGGCAATTTGACACTGCTAGCAAAGTTACCAGATGCTGCTGTGGTAATTGATGGCCTTGTATAAATTTAAATTAGGGCTTCTGTTATTAATTTTATCCCTGGAAAACTTATTGGTTTTGGAATAAATTCTTGCCAAATCTTGTATAGTGCATAGAACCTCCGCCTGGGAGCACTTGCTGTCCTTTCTCTAATAATGGAATTAGTAATGCTCTTGCGGTGTGAGGTGGTCTCCTTGCTAAGTGTACCTTCCTATTTTAAAGCAGAGAAACATCCTTTTCCTTCTGTTTACTTCAGAATTTGAAAACTGGTGGTTGGCACAGCAATTAGCAGAGGATCAGCTTTGAATAGCCATGTATATTACAGTGAATGGAAGGGAGAATATTGCTACACAAGGAAGTCTTCCCCACTCTGTCCTAATTTAGTCCTTTTGACCCTAAATTAAAAGATTTCTCTTTTAAACTCCTTTGTGCTGTGATTTCCAAAGAATGAACCCTTCCCATCCTCATCCTGAAATAAATGAAATCTAAATGCAGATCCCCCTCTATATTTGCTCACATCTCTTCTTGTTCTTGTCATTCTTTTCCTTCCCTTTTTCCACTGATTATTCAACCATGCATCTCTCTCCTTTTTATTCATCTGTTCTCAGAGGCACCAAAACTTTGTACTGTCTTTTACATGAAACCATTGTTCAGTGTGCACATTTTCCTGCAGCTTCAGCTGCCAGGAAACGATGTCCTTTCCCTGTAATAGGGCATAGGGGCATCTGGCGTGATTTGGGCATTGTCATGATTGATTGAGTACACTACAGCAATGACTGTATCATTTGTTTGGGGTGCCTGGGAGTGTTGGAGAGACAGTGATTCTCCTCAAAGCAGAGCAGTGACCGTGTGCACATTGGGATAAAGCTGGGGCTCGTTGCAGGGGGTTCAAGTGAGGATCCCAATCTGTCAATTGCTTGGTCCTGGATTCTCCTGCTGTTGCTGTTGCTGCTTCAGAGGCAGTGACTTTATCAGCATCTGGGCAGAAAGCAAGAGAAATTTGGGAATGGAAAGCAGTGAATACATGTAGGTACGCATTATACTATACACGTAAAAAGATTGGGTCCCCAAATCTGCAGTAACTGATGTAATGGCAACCATGTATGGTTTGATAAGAGGTTACTCCTCACTGCTACTACATGTCCTGTAAAAATGGCATGAGAGGCATGGAGAGAAGACATCAGACCTGCCAAAGTTGACCAAGTTGCCAAGGGCAACAGCTTCTCTGTTTTAGTGTTTCTCCTTTCTCCATATACTGCAAATTCAAGAGAGGGTCTCCCTCACACTTGTTATCCAGGAGACACAAAGCTGTCCCAAGGCACTGGAGCAAAGGAAGAAGCTGAGCCGAGTTGTACGGTACTTCTTCTCTCCTTCTTCAAAATCTGACAGGAAGATACTGTGAATAAAACATCCCATCACTTCTCCCTTCCACAAGTCCTCTCTAAGTGTCAGAAAAAGTGTGGACCGTGCAGCAAAGGCTTATTTTACTCCCCTTAGTTTTCTGCATCTCAAGCTTCCTTTTTGACTGGACAGGATAGGTGCTGTAACAATAATCTAAAGCCATGGAATTGTACAAAGCTTCAAAACTGTCTTTGCTTTCACAAGGTTTAAAGCAAAGCACCCCTTTGTAACTGTTTTGTAAAATAACATCACCCCTGCATCTCAAAAATGAAACATAGCTGCTAGGGCAACTCCTACCCTCCCCAGTTATCAAGGTCAGATCTGGGCATTGAGAGATGGCGTCCTAACAGGTCAGCCATATATCAAGTTGGAAAAGTCTTTCACGTGATTTCTTTATTGCAGCAAGAAAGCGCTTCATTAAGTAAATCTGTGCTGCTCAAGTTGTATCAATTGTGTTGTTTCCCAGGGTGCTTAAAGGTCCAGTTCAAGCAGCCTGTGCCCTGTCTATCTCATAACTTGCCTTTCCCTACAGCAGCCCCCATGACAACAGTGACAATCTTTGTATTTGTAACTATCTGGGAGTGAGAGTGGGAATGAGGGGCAGGAGAAGACCCTCTTTTGGATAAAAGGAGGCCTTGGGAGCAGCTGCCCTCAGGCTCTGAAATCATCTCCCACCAAGAATATCACAGTCCTTCTTGCCGGCTCGTAAGGGGTGTGTGTGAGATGTCTCTTTTTTTGCTTGGCCTTTGGTCTTGCCAACTGGTCTTTTAAAGGAAGACTCTCTAATAGATGTGCTTTAATTTACACACACATACAGACACGTACCTTGGAAAGGCAGTGTAGAGATTTTTTTAAAAAGAAAAAAAAATCAAAGAAATTGTGCTATCTTCCTGCCCCAGGCTGAATTTAGATCAGGACTCAGCGCCATTCACAGTGTCTTTCATTGGCAGGTCACACAGCTTTGAAGTATATGAAATAATAAGAATGTCAGAATCTCACAAGGGCCTTAGGACTGTCAGAACCAGTGTAGAGGCCTGGAAGAAGGGAAGAAAATTCCTCTGAATTAACATTTCCAGCCTACCAATGTACTGGATGCTCAGACATGTTCAGTCAGGATTTTCATTGTAAAAGTTGAACTAGCTCACAATTCCTTTTTTTCATAGAAATTGTATGCTTCCCTCTTTCTCCCCCTTTCTCTCATTGCTGCTAGTTTCTCAGTCCATTCAGGAAGTACTTTTTTATTTTCTAATATTTGATATTAAGGTTTATCAATATGCTTTATCATACTACTTCCATGTCTCTTTTTTATTTACTGACCTGATTGCTGGGAAAAGAAATATGCTAGTTAATAAGTAATAGCATAAGGATGGGCAGCTACCAGGCATCTTCTGGCTGTTTTGGACTATGGTCTCCACAATGCTTTGCTAATTACAGTGTTCACATGGGCTATTAATGGTGGAATTCAAATATCTGGAGGCTAGTGGATTTGTATAAGAACAAAGCCTTTTCTAAAGAAAATCCAGAAATTGCATTTAATTTATTACATTCGTTATAGCTACTCACTCCATTAGACTCTGAGTGTCTTACAAAAATCCAGAAAACAATAAAAAATAAATGCACGTAAACAGGCAGCCTGGGTTAAAACAATTATAAAAATAAACCGTACAATACAACAGGGTCCCCCACAAATGCATCAAAAAACACATTGACCCCAGAAGGCCTGGATACAAATATTTTAATATAGATTTCTTTGCTTACCTCAGATCACATAAGCTATAATGGCAGCATCTATGTTTATTAAAGATATATTTGTCCCATTATAATCAGGGAATTGTCAAAGCTATAGGGCTGTACTTGCCATTTCCATGTTTCTAAGTTTTGTTATAGAAAATGCTTCAATGGAGCATTTTTTAGGGTGGCAGGACAGGACTTCAGTTTTAATTGTCATTGCCATGCCTAGCATATAGTAGTCTTCTGCAAATGTATAAAGCACCTTGTGATGTGCTGGATATCAATATTCATAAAAACACATTTAAAAGTATTATTTTCATGAGGAAAAGGCCATGAGAAATATGGTAGCTCTGGTTAAAAAGGGGCAATTGGAAGGCAAGCAATGGGAAGAGGAAAAATAAGGGTGTGACTCACTATTCTCCAGGATAGACCTTATATGGGTAGTCTTTTACTTACTAGCATAACTGAGTCCACACTTTCAGTTGTAAGTTGTGATGGTTGTAAAGTGGGTCATTATCAGTGGTGGGTTCCGCCCAGTTCGCCCGGTTCCGCCGAGCTGATAGCAGTGACGATATGACATCACCGAACCGGTTCTGGCCGCCCCCCCCCCCCCCCCCCCCCCCCACACCCCGCGTTATTCTTATCTTTTATTTGGCCCCACCTCCAATCTATTGCTGCCTCCTGAGTCCCAGCTGATGGCTAGAGGGAAAAAAACCATTTAAACTCTTGCCACGGGGCTTCAAAGGGCTGCCCTACAGCTGATCAGTGTTAAAAGAAAACAAATGAGTAGACCAGTGCCTACAAAAATACATGAGTAGATCAGTGCCTGCAAAAATAAATGGGTAAAAATATTTACCCTGCAAAAATATTTATTTATTTATTTATTTATTTATTTATTTATTTATTTATTTATTTATTAGTTTGATTTATATGCCGCCCTTCTCCAGAGATTCAGGGTGGCTTACAATGCATTAAGCAATAGCCTTCATACTTTTGTAGATACCTGCTTAGTAGGGCTTTTGGCTCCCCCTAAGCGGTGTACTTTTTTATATAAAGTCAGCTTATTGCCCCCACAATCCGGGTCCTCATTTTACCTACCTCGAAAGGATGGAAGGCTGAGTCAACCTTGAGCCTGGTGAGATTTGAACTTGCAGTACTTGCAGGCAGCTGGCAACTATGTACTACTTTAACAGCACTTAGTCCACTGCGCCACCAAGCTCAGTATACATGAGTAGAGCAGTGCCTGCAAAAATACATGAGTAGATTCGTACAGCCTGGTAGACCAGTACCTCTGCTAAATCCTAAATAATTGTCACATGACCATCAAGCCATGCCCACAAAATAAGCCATGCCCACAGAACCGGTAATAAAAAAATTTAGAACCCACCCCTGTGACCACACCCGCTTTCAGGACCTTTTTTGTGGCAATCATTAAGGGAACCCATTGTTTGCTATTGGGTGGTTTTTGCCAGAAATTGGCAAAGTAAAAGTTCTGGTAAAAACATCGTAAATCATAGTTATGTGATCCTGGGATGTTACAAATAAATGCAGGCTGTTTGCCAAGTGTCAAAATGCAGTCATGTAATCATGGAGGGGCAAGGGTACCATTAGAAGGTTGAATCTGGGTCATAAGTAGCTTTTTCAGGCTCTCTTGTAAACTTCAAAATGTTATTAAATTGAGGATTACCTGTATCCAAGCTGGGAGTGAGGAGAGAAAGTGTACCTACAATACTTGCAGGTCCATATGCTTATTATCTTATGTACACCAAGAACCCGGTCATCAGGCTTTGCCTGTGGAAAAACCAATATATGCAGCTTTGAATTAATAGAGTTTTAATCCTTGTTTTCAGGAACGGTAGATGAGCCACCACATGGTACACTGATCTTCTCTCTATCATCTGATAGTCACATTTTACCTAATAGGAAGGCTGGCCTGGGTTTCAGGTATGTATACTTGAACCTATATATTCATTGCTTCCAAAGAATATATTATGACCTACAAGAAAGAAAATAAGAAATAAAAGTGGGAGAGAGGAGAGCAAAAAAAGTTCTCCCTTCTTTTCCGTTTTGCAGTTTCAATAATTTCTTACATGAAAAGAAACTATTACTATTTTTGCAATCCCTCAGAAAGAAAGATAATAGAAGTTTTCCTATGTTGCCACTGGATTTTCCCTGAGAGTCCCAGAGAAACTGAGGGGAACAATCCTTTTCTTCTTTTTCTAGCTCATATTGAGACTAGAAGCTCATTTCTTCAGTTGATGATACTGACCTTGAGCTGCTTATGTACTATCCATTACTGTGGTCAAGATGATGTTTCGAGACCATCAAGACAATCTCTACTAACAGCTTTCTCTCTGTCATTCATGGCTATCAAATCACTCCTTCCTCCTGTACTGAACTGGATGAATGCAAGTGACAGTGACTCATCCTTGCATTTTTCTGCAGGCTCAAGACATATTGTGTTTTGATTGTTCCAATTATTAGTGAATATTTTATTGTAGGGATCAGGAAACTGTCACATTTCTATTATCACTCTCTATTCATTTCTTTGGCATGCTTGGCAAGCTTCAGAAGCCATCAAACAATGACAAAGTGACATTAAATATAGGGATTGGTTTGTTGAACCCACTGTTGAAAGTAAATCTCTTTGGGTGTGGGATGCAACAGCCTCAAAACACCTTCAGCTCCAAATGTTCAGAATGAAAACCACGTTTTATATGGTTTATCATGTGAGGTTTTGCAATTTGTCATAAAATGTCAAATCTATAATTGGGGTATGCTGTGGCCACTTGAATTTTGATCTAAATTCTTGTAGCCCAAACTAAAAAATAGAATTCAAACCCCAGCAAATCTAAGCAGGTCAAGGCTGATGACCAGGTCTTAGCATACACTTGATCATTAGGTAATCAATAAGTTTTATAACAGGAGATAGTAAGCCTAGAGACCTCCATGGAGATTCTCAGCCATCCAGGTCATGGTTGTCCCTTTTATTTCAAAAGGCAACTGGACTGAAAGAAAGTCCAGTTGCCTCTTGAAAAAAAAGCACCTTTGGGACCTAGAGACCTCCACATATTATTGTATACCATCTCTCTTCAGTCCCAGCCAAGGTATTAGGAACTTCAATCTGTCTGAACAACTATGGCTTTCATCCCTATTTTCCCTTTTCTGGTTGTTTCCCCTCAATGCCATGTCATTGCCAGAGTTCAAAACATAATTTATACCAATCCTGGAAGATTACATGGGGAGTTAGTGTAGGAAAAAATTATTCACTCACCCTATTTCCTCAGTACATCTTGATCTGCATGCTGAATGATCTTTATCCTGTATCTTATGTAATATGTCTGGTTATATCTCTACTGCTAGCAAAGGATGAAGCACTTCATTAAGTTTTGTTTAGCATCCATTTCCAACAGGAGGTCAGGAACCCTTATTTTAAATTTAATTCTCTGAAGTCCTTAATAGTCTCCATTAGAGTGTTGAATATGTCTATTGCACTGCATAGTTGTCCCTAGGGGTGTGGACTGCTTGTCTAGGTAAAGATTTCCAACCAGGATAGCTTCAGACTAGAGTTAAACACCAAAAGCGGTTCTTGTTGCATTGTGACAATCTGACTACAAAGTAAACATGAGCCTTCATGAGCCTTCTGGGAAACCATCAACTTTACACAGATGGCAAGAGTTGCTATGATATTAAAAGGCCCCCTAAAGAAGACATTAGTGATGTTGCTGAATTTCACATTTCCAAGTGAGGAAATGCAAATCTCAGCAGCTCCTAATACACACCTGAGATAGAAACCACAGAGTCTTAATAATCTTTCTCTGTATCCATTTTAATTTGAGTTGGAGGATATTTTAAGTCTTCTCTCTGTCACTTATTCACTTACTGAGTCTACAGGACACAAAAAGATGGTCAATGACAGTAGTAAAGTAATAAAGTTTCTTGTTTTATTATTTTAAAACGTGTTTAGTATTTTAACTGTAATATGTTTTTTTAATTGTATGCTGTCCAGAGTCATTGATCAATTTAGCTTTAGAAATTGAATAAATAAATGAATACCATTACAAAACATGAAGAAGGGACTGCAGAACGGAATTTGCAGAAAAAAATGTTTGACAGGTTTCAGGCTTTGGAGAAAATGGATAGAATGGATGTTGTCATAGTCCTATTGCAATTTTTGAGAGTATGACCAAATGCTCAGAATTTATCTTAAACTAACCAAACTTCAAACTTCTTGAAGCTTGGAGAAAATCACTATCAGTATAACTATCAAATTCTGCTTCCTAATATGAAGCCAAGTGGCATATCTAACTTTGTATGGTAGACATAGGAAGCATTAGGATACTGTGCCAAAGTATCACCTCAAAGGCAACTACAACAGTCAATCTCTCCTGCTTCAGGTTTCAGCATGCATGTACAGACAGTTTCTTGGGAGATTATCAGTTTTACTTCAAGACTGGAGAGTTAACAATGAAGCAAAGGAATGTAAATGAAGCAATGACTTCCCTACAAAGTTTGTTTGAAATAGACAGAAGAATTAGACAGAAGAATTGTCTAAAGTCAGACCAAGCCTCAGAGCCAGATCAAGGTTGTCAGCTAGTCCAAAGGTCAGAAGTTGAAGATTAGAATTCATACCTAGGTGTCACACACAAGCCGGAAATCAGTCAGTCAAACATGGTGGTGGAGCAGTGATTAGAATGCAGTATTGCAGGCTAACTCTGCCCACAGGTCTGGAATTCGATCCTGACCAGCTCAAGGATGACTCAGCCCTCCATCCTTCTGAGGTCAGTAAAATGAGGACCAGATTGTTGAGGGCAATATGCTGAGGCTATAAACTGCCCAGAGAGTGCTGTAAAGCATTATGGGGCAGTACATGAATCTAAGTGCTATTTCTGTTGTTTCCCACAGAGATGGACTCAGAGCTATTTCTTAAAATAAGGCTATGACTGGTTGCCAACAATCACAAGGTTTACTCCTTTGAATAGTGAGAAGCTTAATAGATCTTCACTATTTTGCTCTCTTCTCTTTTTGTCTGGTACGGGCACTGGGAGGCCTTAGGTCATCCTCACTTGACTTTTCCAGTGACTCAGGTGGTGTCTGTGTTTAATCAATCTCATGTGATTCCTATCTCTGTTCTTCCTGAGGCTGACATTCCACAGGCTCAGCTAACGCATCTTTTTCAGGTCAGATTCAAACTCATAATCTGAGTCCTAAACCTAGGCCATGAGGTAATCCTTGTCTCCATAAATTGATAGTTTGGCTCAATCATTCTCTCTGAGCCCAATCTACCTGACAGGATTGCTGTTGTGGGAATAATGCCTCTTTGAATTTGTGGAGGAAAGCCAGGATATACATTTAATAAATAAATACGCTAATTAAATGATTGACACCCTGCACTGAGGTAAAAACGATGACATATAGACACAGGTGACAATGAATTCAGCAATAAGAGTTCCTGACTGTGATCAAAGCAGCATGTCTAGTCCTGCATCTTGTTGGCTTTGTAATGGCAAGAATTTTATTAGGACTATGAGGACACTGGCCTTTTTTATTGTGAATATTTGCATAGCCAGTGCATGCGTCAAACAACCTAGCAACAGTTTGCATTTTACTTTCTTCCCAGACTGGTATCCTAGCTAACTGGTGGCTAATTGGCATTCCTTTGTTTACTCTGTTGTAAGCAAAAGCTCAATAATCAAGCTTAGAGGACGATATGGTGAAGCTAATCCATCTCTTAGCCTTTATCAAGACCCACTTTACTAAAGGTCCAATTTGAAGGGGATGAGAAAGAACTGTGTAAATTAATGTTTACATGTGACTTCCACACATCTTATAGTTGCCAAGTTTGAAGAAAACTGGTGTAAATGCTATGGCCAATGGTGCTTTGATTTAAAACTGTTCCTATTGCCTAGTTCTAGATTTGTAAACTGGAAGGGGGAATTCATCATTTATTAAGTGTCTAGTCCAGATTTAGATACTAAATGGAGCACCTGTACTAAATAGTTAATCCAAACAGTCTTTTAAGATTGTTTGTGTTTAGTCATGGATTTGAATTGTGTATTGTATATTTTATCTTGGGGTTAGCAAATTATGAGGAAAAAGAAGGAATACTAGTTAAGTATTAGGAGAAGTGAGATCATGATGCCTCTGATTATTTTGGAAATCACTTGGGTTGGGAGATCACAGTCGGCTTCGTAATGTGAAGTGTATCCTCATATCCTCAGTCCTAGAAGGGGCGGAGGATACACAGCTACTACTGGTTGACTGAACAAATGTTAAACTATTACACTTTTTCCCCATCTTCCAGAAACTGAGAAGACTTCTATAATTGTGTGATAATTGAGGATAGCTGGAGAATGTGTATGTGTGTGTATTTGAGAAACTAGTTTTCCTTCCCGTAAGAACCTTATTACTCACATTTTTCTATCCTTATGAAATCCTTATATGTGTTGTTACATATTGCTTTGTTGAGGTTAGTGTATATTTGTGAATTCCTAAGAAGAGTATATGCAAGGAATCCTCAAACAAATAAGTGCTATATTTTGCCTTTCTTTTTAGCTGTAGATATTTGTTCTTGGGTAGACAAAATGTATCTATCGTACAAAGTAGTCCCTTCAACTAACATTTTCCATTCCCAAGTAACCACTTGATGGTCATTGCTCTATAAAGATAAGGATAAAATAATCTCTTGCCTTATGTTCTGTGAAATAAGACTTATTTCCTTGTGGGGATGTTTATTGTCCTGCTGTTGTATTCTGATTAGTTTAGTAAGAAAAGTTAAAATTAGTAAGGACTTTATCCTACCATATAGCATGTTCCACATGGAATGGCCATTAGGATTTTCCTATGATTTTCCAGGATAGACAGAGTAATAAGGAGATAGATCTTTTTGTTAATTTCACACTGTCTTCCTTAACCAGTTCCTAATATATTGGTTTGGTAATGATGGGCAACATGTTCCAATATGCCTATTGAAGGAGGCCACATGATTTCAGAAGGCAATGAGAGTGAGCCTTGAAAACCTAGCTATCTTACCAAATTTCATTCCTTCCCTACATCATAGTGCTCATTTCCCTCTTGTGTGTTCATAGTGTTTTTCAGGTCTCAAAGGCTCAGCAGCTCAATTTACCGCCAGCACAGTTATATTGTTTCATTGAAAATAATTCAAGAAGCCAGTATATTTTCTGTTCTCCTTGGTTTATAGCACTTTTGGTCATCAAGCTCTGCACTGATCAGTGAGCATAACGTTAAGAATGTTAGGTGGTCTCTGTTTTAGACACAATTGTACCGTAAACAAATTTAGATTAATATTCTACTCCACACTTTTTTTCGTTTGCTTCAGAGATTCCTTCTAAAGATTCTATGATGTGAGACATGATTATGTGTCTTTGAGTTACGGAAATTCCATTTCAATTTTCTATATTAATTTCATACATCAGATCATACCAATCATCTCTTGATACTGACAGTATTTGCTGTGCACCAGTAATTATTTCTGTAACCTGGCCTGTTTGCAACAAGTGTTGTGTATGTTTCCCAGGTCCCAAACCAACCTGGGTAATTAGAGATGTGATCTGACAATTCTAGAGCCTTCCAATCCTTTGGCTTGCAGAACTGGGAACTCTACTCTCCTATTCCTTTTCCATACAGATTAATCAGTGGCATGCTCCAACTGCTGAAGCTTTTACTTGGAGACCATTGGGGCATATCCAGTGGTGGGATTCAGCCAGTTCACACCACTTCGGGAGAACCAGTTGTTAACTTTCTGAGCAGTTTGGCAAACTGGTTGTTGGAAGAAATCATTAGGGCAGAGAACCGGTTGTTAAATTACTTGAATCCCACCACTGCGCATATCTATATGATAGTGTCTAATTGAGTTGGGGAATGATTAGCTTGATAAAGATCTGGACTTAAGTCCCATAATGCAATTTGCAATTGGTCTCAGACAGATGAGTTTCTATTTCCTTTATCCAGTAAGGCTCACTATGCTACATGCTGGCATGTTTATAAAGCTGGAATGAGCAGCTGAGGGATGCCTTCCAATTACACCTGTTGTTGAAGAATAATCATTTTTGTTTTAACCTATGTGGTTTTAGGGGGTGCTGTTGTACCCCCTAAATACTTGAGCATTTCTGCAACAGAACATCGTGTCTTGTAAAATTTGGAGGCTATTGTGACACTTACCTGCATTATTGTTTCCGGCAAATGTTCAAAATTTATTTTACTAAGGATCTCTGCTACTGTTGGTGCTATAGAACATCATGGTCAGATTCACACATCGAGCTAATCCAGAATATGGCATGTCGAGTTTGATCTAACAATAAGAGAAAATAAACCAGAATTGAGCAAGGAGCCATGATTACTGTACTTCGCTCTTTAGTAACTGGTTCTGGATTCTTCAATAAACCCAGGTTAAAACTAACCACAATTTCATGAGATATGTGACCACAACCCATATACAACAATTAGTAATTAGAAAAGAGATTTATTTATTTTTTTGCTTTTACTTATACCACAGCTCTTTATTTGATCAATATTGTCACAGAGCACTATTTCATTTTATATTAAAGATAGTGACATCAAATATGAAGTGCATACTTATCTAGTTTATTGTGTGCCTGATTTATGATAACATGAAATGGGGCTCAGTTAAACTGCTATGAAAGTTCCTATGGCACTGGTTTCAGTGAATAGAAAAGGTTTTGGTTGGCGAATAAACTCTAGGAAAAGAAATCATGGCTAGTGATTGACTATTTGGTATTGCTTAATCCATTGCTTGTTGTTGATATGCCTTATTATTATTCTTGCATACAAGTCTACAGCTTGTATTGATTAAATCAGCATCAGAAAATAAGCCCTGAAGCCTCTTAATTAGGGAAATGAGGAAGAAATTGAACATCCAGCCCAGAAGCTCTGATTGTACCAGCACAAAACTCTGTGATGAGATGCTGGGACAAGACAATCTAGAGACTAGCCAAGGAACATTCATTTCATATCCTTCCTTCTTGCCCAGCCAGAGGATAGCAGGTCACCCAACATAGTTTAAAATGGAGCTGCTAAACGATCTATTTGCTAACAATTTTGACACACCCAGGGTCAACACATAATTCTAAACTATAATGGGTGCATTTGCAGATCATGCTAAACTAAAACAAACAAAGCCGATTATAATCTAGCTATATTATGTGCAAAGTCTTTCTGTTGTTACACTTGGCAGAAACTTTAAGATGTTCTAGTTTTCAAGTGGCATCTTGAAATTGATTTCATTCTTGCTGCTCTCCTTAGTTCTGATACAATAGAACTGCAGCTTTCAAAGGCATAGGGATCCTGCCAAAATACAAAGGCTGACAACCCAGTGCTTTGCAAAGCTGCCAGAATGGATGCTGTTCCGTTAAAAAAAAAAACCAAAAAAAAAAAAACCCTCTGTTCTTAAGACAGTCGACCGATAAGTTGCTCTGCTAGTTATTCACTTCTATTTTTCTCTGTCTCATAATAGGATATAAAATTGGAGAGGAGGCAAGCATTCTCTGCTACAATACTCATCCAAAGCTAAGAGTCTGCCATTTGGCTATTGTTTTGCCAGGTCCCAACAGCTCATTGTCTTTCTTGGTTCTGGATACTGCTGCTGGGCTTAAAGGCAAAGAGAAAGTCATGATATCGTCTTCTGGGAAATAACTGGTACCTCCAGATAAGCATGCAAATGCACATTGGGTGAGAATAGCTGCTTGAAAGGAATGGAAGGGCAAAATGACTAACAATTTGGGGCTGACTGGAGGTGGTCAAGGGGAAGCCACTGGCTCTTGGATTATTTATGCCAATTGGTACCATAGTGTACTTTACTCAATTAGGAATTTGTACCCTATTCTCTCTCCTTTCTTTTTAACAGAATAACAGAGTTGGGATGAACCTTGGAGGTCGTGTAGTCCAACCCGCTGCTCAAGCAGGAGACCCTATACCACTCCAGACAAATGGCAGTCCAATCTCCCCTTGAAAGCCTCCAGTGGTGAAGTTCTCACAACTTCTGAAGGCAAACCGTTCTACTGGTTAATCGTTCTCACAGTCAGGAAATTTCTCCTTAGTTCTGAGGTTGCTTCTCTCCTTGATTAGTTTCCATCTGTTATTTCTTGTCTTGCCTTCTGGTGCTTTGGAAAATAAGTTGACCTTCTTTTCTTTGTGGCAGCCCCTCAAATATTCCACAGCAAACATGAGGAAAACTCTTAAAAATATCACCAGTTACAGCAAACCTCCTTCCCATGTTGAAGGAGATCAACAACTGGCAGATGACCTTTGAGAAAACTATTGCCACCCATCTCCACAATCCCCATCTCAAATACACCAACAACAGCCAAGCCTCTTACAACTGACCCCTCCCATTAGGCCCGCCACCTCTGGTGATTACAGAAAATGAGGTGCAAGGTCTATTTCACAGACAAAAGCCAGGAAAAGCACCAGGTCCAGACAAGACTCATTCTTGCTTAAAAGCTTGTGCTGACCAACTGGCCCCCATCTTCACCCACATCTTTAATAAATCACTGGAGATGTGCTATGTTCCTTCTTGCTTCAAATGCTCCAGTATCATCTCAGTGCCGAAGAAACCCTCCATCAAAGAACTGAATGACTTCACACTGGTTGCTCTAACATCTGTAGTTATGAAAACCTTTGAAAGGCTAATGTTGTCCCACCTGAAAACCATCACGGATCCACTGTTAGACCCCTTGCAATTTGCCTACTGAGCAAATAGATCAACAGATGATGCTGTTAATATGACTCTGCACTATATCCTACAACATCTTGAATCTCCAAAGACCTACGCAAGGATCCTCTTTGTAGACTTCAGCTCAGCATTCAATAGCATCATTCCAGATATTCTTCTACCTAAACTAAATCAGCTAGCTCAGTAGTGGGTTTCAATTTCGGTCACTATCGGTTTGCTCGTGGGTGCACTCACACTCACACATGTGCACAATGCTTCTGCGCATGCACAGAGACATGTGGATGGGTGGAGCCTTCCACCGTTGCTGCTACCGGTTCACCTGCTCTGGGGCGAACCGGTAGCAACCCACCATTGAGCTAGCTATACCTGACCACACTTGTAAATGGATCATAAGCTTCCTAACAGACAGGAAGCAAAAAGCCTTGTGGTGCAACCGGAAAAATCTTGAACTAAACACACTCAAAACCATAGAAATGGTGATGGGTTTTAGGAGAAAACCTCCTATACTACCACCTCTTACAATACTAGACAACACAGTATCAACAGTAGAGATCTTCAAGTTTCTAGGTTCTATCATATCTCAGGACTTAAAATGGACACCTAAAACCAAAATCTTCATCAAAAAAGCACAACAAAGAATATTCTTTCTGCACCAACTTAGAAAGCTCAAACTACCCAAGGAGCTGCTGATTCAGTTCTACTGAGGAATTATTGAGTCTGTCATCTGCACCTCTATAACTGTCTGGTTTGGCTCTGCAACCAAACAATACAGACACAGACTTCAACGGATAATTAGAATGGGCAGAAAACACAATTGCTACCAACCTGCCTTCCATTGAGGACCTCTATACTGCACGAGTCAAAAAGCGGGCTGTGAAAATATCTACAGACCCCTCACATCCTGGACATAAATTGTTTCAACTTCTACCCTCAAAACGACGTTATAGGGCACTGCACACCAGAACAACTAGATACAAGGACAGTTTTTTCCTGAATGCCGTCGCTCTGCTAAACAACTAATTCCCATAACACTCTCAAACTTTTTACTAAGACTGTATTACTATTCTTCTTCTCATCCTTCCTATTACCTATCTCCTCCCACTTATGACTATAACCATGTTGCTTGTATCTTTACAATTTATATTGTTTTATTTATGCTTTGATTGCTTATTAGTAACTTATGACTATCACTAAGTGTTGTATCTTATGATTCTTGATGAATGTATTTTTTTCCTTTTATATACACTGAAAGCATGTGCACCAAAAACAAATTCTTGTGTGTCGAATCACACTTGGCCAATAAAGAATTCTGTTCTGTTCTGTTCTGTTCTGTTCTGTTCTGTTCTAGTTTAGTTTAGTCCATTCCATTCCATTCCATTCCATTCCATTCTAAATATTAGAACACTGCTTTCATGTCTCCCCTAGTCCTTCTTTTCACTAGAAATACCCAATTCCTGCAACCGTTCTTCATATGTTTTAGCCTCCAGCCCTCTAATAATCTTCATTGCTCTTTTCTGCACTCTTTCCAGAGACTCAACATCTTCTTATATGCAAAGCACAGAGCTCCAGCTCTGCATGAAGCCTTATTAATTCTAGTCCGTGTAGAATCCATAGACTGATCTCATGGGCCTCGGGGTCAAAACCAGAGTTTCACATCCTTGGTGGCCCAAAACCACCCAGAAATTGATCCTGAGGATGGAAGTTATTATAATAGAAGAATGTGAAATCATCTGTGAAATATAAAACAGGGGGGAGAAGATAAATATTTGTAATGTAATTGAAGTATTGGCACACATGGCTGTGTAAAGGGAATACCTTCAAGCCTACTGTCCAGAGCATAAATGAATTGGATAGATGGAACAAATATAAAAATATGTGCTATATTTATATTTTGCCTTTCATAGAGATGCTCAAGATGGCATTTGTAGTGCTCCCTCCTTTCTCCTATTTTCCCGTACAACATACCTGTGAGGTCATTGAGAAAGAAGACCTAGGATGCATCTGAGGCTAGGAGCAATCTACATCTCCCTTGTGGCAGTCCAGCACATTAACCACTATCCCATCCATTCTCTAAGATCACACTAAGAACATTTTATCTGGGTGTGAAAAGAAGGCCAATTTCTACGTTTGCTTTCCGTTTATCGTAACTCTTTGGACTATAGTTTTGCTCCTCTTTGTTTTCCGTTTTCAGTTTATCGTAACTATTTGGAGTACAGTTTTGATCCTGTAGATAACTTCCTTTGCTCTAGAAAGGGAGATGAAGACTTTTACTTGATTATTGGCAATGGCAGGCTGAGAACTGTGTTATAACTCCATTAGATCTGATGTACTAACTGCTAACATAACAAGGTTGGAGCATCAAACCATGCATTGATCTCAAGCAGAGTTTGAAGTTGTTTGTTGGGCTGTGAATTCTTTTGCATGTCAGCTCAATCACTATGGAATAACATTCTTATTACTTCTGGGATTTTTCTTCCAAGTATCTAGTCTCCTGGTATATGTCAGAAAATACTCTCTACACAATTTATCTGCTCTTATGTGTCACCAGTAGTAGGCAAACCTAACTCCTGAATTCATTTTCAGTATTACAGTTACTTAAA